ATTGGAATTTAGTTTAATGTGTCCTAATCCATTTACCACAAAATGCATTTGAGAAAAGCCTACTGGAGCTAGTAAGAAGTTGAGCATGGAATTTTCTAGCTTATAGTCACAAGGTTTTTCTTACAAAAGAAAGTAGTTTTATTAAAATGCATCATTGATTTTTCTGCTGAGAGTTTGAGGTATTAGTAGGAAGTATCTTATGCCAATTTTGTTAGAATTCAGAAAGGCATAGAGTATAGGATAATTGTGTCATGAACTCTATGAAAAGAAAAGATAAACTTTTTTTTTTTTTTTAAAGAGATTTTTGCTGTAGGGCTCCTGTGCTTGGTGGAGAGACAGAAAGTGAGAAACCACCCTTCCAGGAGGGATGGCCATGCTGCAATCCCTTCTCCTTCATTCTCCTCTCAGGATTTTGGGCACACACACACAAATACACACAGGCCCAGCATGAGTTTCAAGCTACTGAGTCTGGGACTTGAACCATGGTCAGCCATGTGGGTGTCCAGCAATGTAACTATTATGCCATCTGCTGGTTTCTTGAAAAGATGAAATTTTAAATGTTACACTCATAATTTTAACTTACGTAACTTATATAACAAATGTGAAGTGAATTTTCTTCCTAGAATATGCTCTATGGCACCTTTGATAATAAGTCTGTTCAAAGGCAGAAAAATTTTGGTTATCAGGAACTCCAATAGTGTTCTTAAGATGATTGGGTTGCCTGTTGATTATTATGGCTCTCCACTGTATGTTGTTTCACTGGAAATGATCATTATCTGTGTCAGCTGCTGCTGCTTTTATTTTTGCATTCCTTCTGGCCAGCTTGTTGTTCTTGAAGATGAAAGGAAATGTTGCTTTTATTATTTAATTTTTAAATTTTTAGTTGGCTGTAGGTCGCATATGCTCATGAGAGAGAGAGAGAGAGAGAGACAGACAGAGGACAGATTGACCAAGAGAGAGAAAGTAAGAAATCACCCCTCGGGAGATGATCATACCACAGTCCCTTCCCCTGCGTTCTCCTCTCAGGATTTTGGGCATGCACACACGTGTACCCGGTGTGATTTTCAAGCCCTGGGGACTCAAACCTCTGGGAATAAAACCATATGGTTGGCCATGTGGAATCCTGCTTTCCCAACTGACTTTTAAAATAAATGTAGTGAGATTTTATGACAGAGGAGATTGAATTTCACAGTGTAATCCAACAGTGAAATTAGTTTTGTTATTCTAGGCCCTCATTACAGACTATCTGAAGTAACTTTTTATCTGAGTACAAAATGAGATATATCCGTTGTAGGTAGTTTGGAAAGAAGAGCAAAGTACAAAGAAGAAAATAAATATCTTTCGTTTGTAGTTCCATTATCTAATAGTCTGGTGTGTGTGTGTGTATAAATATATAATAAATATATGTGTGTGTATATATATAAATATATACAGATGTATTTATGTATATACACATTTATGTGTGTATACATATATACACAGACATATTTACATACACACATACATATGTATATACGCACACACGTATATGTATATACACATATGTATATATACACATGTATATATACGCACACATATGTATATACACACATGTATATACACACACACCAGACTATTAGATATATTATATATTATACATATATAATATATATATGTATAAAATAGTTGAAAAGTTTATTTCTTGGGCCAGCAAGTAGTGTAGTGGTTAAGGCACTGGATCCCAAATGGCCAACTCTGTGGTTTGAGTTCTGACCATGAGGCTTGATGTATGTGCATGTACAAAATCTCCTGAGGAGACAGGAGGAGAAGGGGTTGCAGCATGGTCATCCACCCTGGGGGATGATTTCTTACTTTCCCTCTTTCTCGCTCTATCTTTCTGTGAGTTTATATACTCTATAGCAAAAACTTTTTCGAAAAAGGTAATTTTTTTCCATGAACAAGAGAGAGTGTGAAAGAGGGAGACAGAGACAAAGCAAAAGTACCCCCATAATGGTCTTGACACCACAGTCCACCCCCAGCCTTAGCTAGCTCCAGATCATGGACACATGTGTTCGGTATACTTAGGGAGATCTCTGGATGTGACCTGAAACCTACCTGTGTGGGTCAGTCTCACAGGGTCGTATTTTGCCTAGCCCATGTATATATATATATATATATATTTTTTTTTAATAATTAGTATGTATTATTAGTTTTTTGTTTGTTTTTAATAATAGCAAAATTGAGCTAATTTGCAACTTTTTAAATATACAGTTTTTAAATTATATTTTATATATTGCTATTGTTTTTAATATGACCAACGAGAGAGAGAGAAACTGAGAAAGAAAGCTGCCAGATCTAGGACTCTAACTGTGGTTGGCTATGCAGGAGTTCAGTGTTTTAACCACCACATCACCTGCTGACCCTTTAATATACAATTTAAAAAATTATATGAAATATTCTATAGTACTCTCTAATTTAAAATTTAAATGATTTATTATTATTATTTTTAAATCGCTATAGAAAACAAGTTCTCACCAAAGTCGGGGGAAGAGGGAAAGTGAGAAAGCAAGCTACCAGATCTGGGATATGAATCACAATTGGCTGTCTGGGAGTCTAACACCTTAACCACCGTGCCACCTCCTGGCCTCCTTCTATAGCACTTTCAATGTTTGCATATAATTTTATGTGGCTGTATCGTACCTTATTTAACCAGTTTTTTATTGAAAGACCTTCAGTGTGTTTCCAGTTTTTTCCTAATAAAACTCACTGTCATAGACTCTCTGATAGTAAAATTTATTGTTATTTATTACAAGCCTTTTTTCCTTCAAAAATTACTTACTAATTTTTACTTCTTATTGTTTTAAAATTTGCTGTAGTGCACATGCATTCACCAGCGAGAGACAGAGAAAGAGAGAGGGAAAGCGAGAAAGCAAGCCACCAGGTCTAGGACTTGAACCATGGTCAGCCATGTAGGAGTCCAGCACCCTAATCACCATGCCAACTGCTGGCTTCTCTTAGAAGTCTTTTAGGAAAATGTTTACATATTTATAAATGAAGCTCTAAGGAAAAATAAAGTTAATAGTTTTATACTATTGCATAATAAACCATGTCCTAATGTTAATTCTTTCTCCATTGTGTGGTTCATACCATGATACTTAAATTCTTCTAGAATTACTTATTAAATTTTGTTTATTATTATTATATTTTAATTTGTTATAGGACACATGTGTTCACTACAGAGAGACAGAGAGAGAAAGTGAGAAAGCAAGCCACCAGGTCTGGGACTCAAACCATGGCCATGTGGGAGCCCAGCACCTTAATCACCAGGCCACCTGTAGGCTCCTGTCATGATATTTTAATGACAATATATTTGGTTGTCAGAAAAGTTATGACATATTTTTCTATGCAAAAAATGTGTCATGACTTTCCCCAAAACCCAGTATTTAAGTTGGTTTGTCATTTGAGTGATAAATGATTTAGTGTTAGCATAACCTAATTTGAAAACTATGTTTTTGAGATTGGATCTTAAACTTTCACTTCAAACATCATGTCTGACTATTAGTCCATCTACTTTTATGACTTTAACCTCAAAAATTTTTTTTCTAACGTTACTTTCTTGATTAATATTTGCTCTTTAAAAAAAAAAACCTAAAGGATTGAATGGGGACAGAATAATAACTATATGAGTTAATCTTTTTTTTTTTTTTTTTTGAGAGGTTTTCGCTATAGGGTACTTTTACTTGCCAGAAGAACAGAGACAGAGAGACAGAAAGCAAGAAATCACCCCTCTGGGGGGATGGCCACGCTACAATCCCTTCTCCTCCATTCTCCTCTTGGGATCTTGGGCACGCATGCACACACGCTTAGCATGAGTTTAAGCCACCGGGTCCGGGACTCGACCTGCGGTCAGCTACGTGGGGGTTCAGCGACAGCCATTATGCTAACTGCTGGTCCCATGAGTTAATCATTTTATTAGTAATATGTTTTTATATGTCTCTGACCAATCTTTTAAGATTTTCTTAGTAAGTCTAGAGATCTTCCTGCCATGTATCTGTAATTATTTAGAACTAGTTACTTCAGGTACAAGCAGTTAGCATAATGGCTATGCCAATGGACTCCCATGTAGTCGACCATGGTTCGAGTCCCAGATGCGGTGACTTAAACTCACACTGGGCACGTGTGCGCCCAAGATCCCGAGAGGAGAATAGAGGAGAAGAAATTGCGGCGTGGCCATCCCCCCTGGTGGGGGGATTTCTTGCTTTCTGACTCTTTCTGGCAAGCACACGTGCCCTATGGCAAAAACCTCTCCAAAAAGAAAAAAAAGAACTAGTTACTTCACATATATTTATACTGTCAAGCTTTAGTACAGACAGCAGTAACACATTAAATCTTGAATTTTCTGCGTATACTTGCACCAGAATTGGATATAAACATGAGCTCTTTTTCTTAGATGGATATAGTAAATACTGGTCTTCGCAATCATCAGCCCTCTTAGCTATAGCAAGTGGAATTAATTTTTGTCAGAACTGTCAAATGTGCTCATGTGACCATGTTTGTGGGAAAATACTTTCCTTTCCTCTATACTGATTTCACTCTTACCACCACCAGTGAAAAATTAATCAGTTCTCTGATATTCTTGTACATGCATCCATATGAATATTCATCATACTGTCTTACATCATAATTGGGTGTGCAAGTAACTGTCTCCTCCATAAATTATAGGTCCCCCAAGGAATGGATGTTTGTTTTATTCATGCTTTTATCTCCCCACTTTGACTTTGCTAGGAGCTGAGCCAAGTACTTAGGGTCACATGTTTTGGAGTTAAATAAATGTGCACAGAGCTAAATCGAATACGGTTGTATACTTGGTTACTTGATTGCTAAGAAAACTCTGTATTTTTTCCTAAACAAGGTTTATTAATAATCTCAAATTTTCAGGGGCAAATTAATTAAAAAAAAAACAAGCAGATGTCTTAGTGTTTATCCTTTTCAACTAAATAGATCAATGTTTCTCTTTTTAGGATTTATTCACACAGATATGACAAAAGACTTGAAAGAAGAACATTTAAAGAAAAATATTCCTCTTGGGAGGTTTGGAGAAACTGTTGAGGTGGCACATGCGGTTGTGTTTCTTTTGGAGTCACCATATATTACGGGACACGTTCTAGTAGTGGATGGGGGATTACAGCTCATGATATAATGTCCATGTTTTTCAGTTGTTATGGGGGTTAGCATGAAGGACACACATTGTGTTTGGCTGTTGATTAGACAATCATACCTACATAGGTGACATTTGCAGTTCAAACCTACTGATGCTACAGATGTTGATTTCTGTCTTTACATGAATATATCTAAACAGAACAATGTGACCAATTATGTTTTCCAAAGGGTATGTGTAATCTATCTTTGGTTATCTGAAGGCTGTAGCAGTGTGAGTATATAGGCATTTTGCAAGTCATATACATTGGTACATGTATTCATTTATATATTTTGCTTCAAAAATGGAAAAAATTATACTTCTCGTTGTGATGAGTTATTTTATTGCATCAGACTGAATTTTCTGGAATTTAACCTTTTGGGCTATTGACAAAATAAGAGTATTTACAGGACACTGACCTGCTGTCAGTACTTTAGATAGAGATCAACATTGTATTCCTTTTGCATATGTTGGGTGATCAGTTTTATATACGTCAGATAAAATAGTGTCAGTTAGAATAAGGTATAAGTTTAGAGTTTATTTCTTGGAGTGGTATTACTCTAAATTGAGCCACTGGGTAAAATAATCTATAAATGTTAAATCTGATACAATTGACCCATTCTTTAGAAATTCTTTTAAGGTTTTAATATCTGATACAATAATAAGGTATATAGATTAGGAGGTTTTTTATCCACGAAAATCTCAGTATAGTGAGCTACTTAAAAACAGTGCAAGATGGGGCCAGCAGGTGGCATGGTGGTTAAAAGCGCTGGATTCCCACATGGCTGACCATGGTCTAGTCCCGGACCTGGCGGCTTGCTCTCTCACTTTGCCTTTCTCACTTGCTCTGTAGGTCAAATTAAATAATAATAACAAATGGAATTAAATAAATAAATAAATTTTAAAAAGTACAAAAAAATAACAGTCTAAAAGTTTAGTATTTTCTATTAATGACTATAATAATTATTCTAAAATTTTTGAATGATAATAAGTAATTGCTTATGAATAATCATAAATAACAGATATGTAATAACAATGAATTCAGTGTCTTTTTAAGAAACTGTTAAAAATTTCTTTTTTAAAAATAATTATTTAATTTAATTTTATTTATTATCATTATTTTATTTTTTAAATTTGACCAGAAAGAGAGAGAGGGAAAGTGAGAAAGCAAGCTGCCAGGTCCAGGACTTGAATCAGCCAGCCATGTGAGAGTCCAGGACCTTAACCACTATGTCACCTGCGGGTCCCTAAACCTTTATTCTTTAAAGAGATTATTTCCCAGAGAATAGCAGTAAAGACACAAACCAAATGTAAAATATTAGGCCATGTCTATTTTGCATTAACTTTTTGTAGGGACTAGTTTGATATTTTAGTGTCTCTTGATTCATGTTAATTTTTATTATTTTCAAAATGTCTTAAATATTTTGTAAAAGTAGTATTTAAAATATTTTAAAATATGCTTCAGAAAGAATTTTAAAAAGTAATCTTTTAAGAGCTTTTTTGGAGCTAATCATTATGTAAGTAGAGATTTAATTTTATTTGAAAGTGTAAAAATATGAATAGGACATACTAATAAATTAATAATGTTATTTCAAACTGATGGAGTATGTAGAGAGATCTTCAATAGGTAAAATAAATTTTTGTTGCTTCTCTCCAGGTAAATTTTCCACCTGTTCTCACTGATCAGGTAGAATTTTTAATTTGATCATGTATTCTATTTCTGAAGTTAGTTGCTAGCTGTATGTTTAGAGAGGCTCAAGAACTTCAATGAATCCTTAACAACAACAACAAAAAGTTATCTATACCTATTATCTGACCTTTATGAGCCCATAATAAAAGCATGTGTTTTTAAAAGATGGTGTCCAGCTGGGACCAGCAGTTGGCGTAATGGCTGTTTCGCTGGACTCCCATGTAGTTGACTACGGTTCAAGTCCTGGACCCAGTGGCTTAAACTCACTCCAGGCGCGTGTGCATGCGTGCCCAAGATCCTGAGAAGAGAATGGAGGAGAAGGGATTGCAGTGTGGCCATCCTCCCTGGGGGTGATTTCTTGCTTTCTCTCTTTCTGGCGAGTGCATGTACCCTATAGCAAAACCAAAAAAAAAAAAAAAAGGAATTAAAAAAAAATAGTGTCCAGTTAAAGTCAACGTATTAACATTTTTGTGTGAAAGATTTTAACATTTGCGCTTTTTTTCCCCCCATACTTCTACTCATATTCAGTTTGTAAGAGGGATTGTAACTGTCCAGAGCCAGAGTTATATGTTATAAAATTACATATAATTTATATATATGGGAGAATAATTTGTTCAGAGAAGATTATTTAATTTATATGCTTCTATTGTTCAGAATAAAGGGAGAAGACCTCTGTATATTCAAGAGTCATGCCTTACATTGTTGAAACAGTTTTACAACCTTTTGAATGGAAATACATGTAAATTGAGAAATCATACCACTATCCTAGCTTAAGAAACATACTGTACTTGAATAAAGTATTTAATAATTTTAAACATACTTTTATGTTAGTTTTATTTTTCAACTACATTGTAAACTCCTGAGATCAGAAACCATGTGGTGTTTTCATTCATTTAGCTAATGAAGTAATTCAACAAATATTTATTGACTACCACTAAATATCTTGTACTTCTTTTGATGCCCCCACCTTGCCTCCTCAGCTCTGAGTACACTGGATATATTCAGTAAATACACTGATCGGTCAATCATTTTTTTTAATTTAACTTTTTAAAATTTATTATTATTTTCCAGTTTTATCAGAGAGAGACAGAAAGAGAGAGTAAACGTGAGAAAGCAAGCCATCAGGTCTGGGACTTGAATTGTGATCAGCCATGTGGGAGTCTAGTGCCTTTAACCACCCTGCCACCTGCTGGCCCCCAGTCAATCATTCTTTAATGATTCAGGATTATTAGTCATTACATTGTGCTATAGTGGGGAGGGTTGCTGAGATAATTCTGTTTTCCCAATACATTTCATGGGATATTCTTTCTCGATCATATCCCTGTGATTCACCTCTATTTTCTGACCATTTGTCACTGTGGCATTATTGCTTTCTCTTTTATAACTTAATGTGCAATGTTAAGCCACTTGACAATTTTCTCTTAAGCAATATGTCTTCAGGTTTGAGTAATTACCACCAATTTAATTTAGAATTTTTTTTGAGAGATTTTAGCTATAGGGCGCATGCGCTCGCCAGACAGACAGAGAGAGACATAGAGACAGAAAGCGAGAAATCACCCCCCAAGGGGGGATGGTCACGCCACAATCCCTTCCCCTCCATTCTCCTCTTGGGATCTTGGGCACGCACGCACACGCGCCCGGCGTGAGTTTTAAGCCACCGGGTGCGGGAAGCGAACCGTGGTCGACTATGTGGGAGTCCAGCGACATAGCCATTACGCTAACTGCTGGTTCCCTAATTTAGAATTTTTAAGCTAATAATCCAAATAAGGATGGTGTCAGTATCATCTGAAGAACTTTTTAAAATTATTGTTTTTTGAATAACACATGTCAGGAACCTCTTGCCTAAAATTTTTATATGTAATAGGCTAAGGGAAATGTGGAGATACTTTTAGGAAACATTTTTAATAATTCAGATTGTTCATCCCTTCATTAAATAAATATTTATTCCTACTACATATCAGACACTGCTAGTCATGGGAGGTATAATGGTGAGAAGAGAGATGATCCCTGATTTCCTGGAACACTCACAGACTAATAGGATATTGGGGGGGGGGTCACAGAGAGGAAGGCAAGCAGACCTTGATCACACAAATGTAAAATTGCAGCTGAGATAAGCACTACAAGAACGAGAAGCTCTTGTTACTTTTAAATCTTGTTAGGGAATTTGATGTATTCTAGAATGTCAGCAATGGCTTCTCCAAGGCAAGGGTAGCTGAGCTAATATTAAAGCAAAGGTTTCTAGTCAGAGGAAAAGCATGTGTAAAGATATTTTGGTGAGAAAGAGCATGGTGAATTAGTAATTGAAAGCAGATACCTGGAATGAAGAGCAGAGGCAAGTGTAGTATGAGATAAGTCTAGACCCTACAGACCCTTCAAGGCTATGCAAAGGGTTTTTATTTTTTTATTATTGCTTATTATGATTTATGTATTCAATCTCTATACATCATATGATCCCACAATTCCACTCCTGAGTATCTACCCCAAGTACAGGAGAATACTCAGAAAAGTTCTTGCACATCTACATTTATTACAGCATTATTCACGATTGCTAAGACATGGAACCAACCCAAATGTCCACAAACATGAATGGATTGAAAAAGTGTGGCACATATACTCCATGGAATACTATTCAGCCATAAAGCAAAGGGTTTTAAACTTTATGCTAAGAGCCATCAAAAGATGTAGGAGGATACATGATGTGTTTTGAAAATATTCTGACTCTAGTGTGGCAAAAAAATTGAAAGGGGTGCAAATAGTTTAGGAAGACCCATGTTTGTGGTAGTTCAGGTAAAGATGATGGAAGATTGATCTAGGGTGATGGGAACAGAGAGATAGACCAATGGTCCGATTTGAGATTTAGGAAATAAAATCAGCAGAACTTGGAGTAGAATTGGATTTAAGAAGCAGATGTATTTCTGATTTATAAGGCGGGATGAGTTAGTGGTGCTATTTCACAGAAAACACTGAATAAGGGGAGGTTTTGGTGGTGGTGATGTTATGAGTTCAATTTTAAACATGCTGAATTTGAGGCGTTTTGGAGATATCTAAGAGGAGATGTGACACATGTTTGGGTCAGGAACCTTGAGGGCAGGTCTGGGAAAGAGATACCCTGTAAGTGATTTTTGTAGAAATGGCAATTTACCCTGAACATTACGGAATGGAAGAGATTGCCTTGGATAGAGTTTAGAGTGAGCTGATGATGATAATCACCAAGTACTTTTGGGTACTTAACTGTGTGCCAGGTACGGTCTAAGTGTCGCATAGGATGGAGCCTTGTGGAACACTCATTTTTAATGAGTGTTTAGAGATAGATGAACCTGCAAAGGATTCGAGAACTAGTTAGAGTCAGATAGAAAACTAGGAAAGGGCTATGTCCTAAAGCCAGTGGAAGAAAATTTTCTTGAATAGGGGCATCCTTGATATCAAAGCTGCTGGGTATATTAAATGACAAGTAAAAAGAGGAATTGGTAATATGGAAATTATTGGTTACTTGGATGAAAATTGTTTTTTGTGGATTAATGGGAACAGAAGGCAAAAGCAAGTGGAAGACTTTGAAATTGGATCTTTACATTATACAAGATCAATTCAAGATGGAAAAGGGGGCTGATGGTCATTATTAAAATGCTTAGTGGGGCCAGCAGGTGGTGTGGTGGTTAAGGCACTGACTCCTACATGACTGACTGTGGTTTGAGTCCTAAACCTGGCAGCTTGATTTCTCACTTTCTCTCTCTCTCTGTCTCTGGTGAGTGCATGTGCCCTACAGCAAATTTAATATAATAAATAGAATAAAATTATTCTTTTTTTTTTTTGAGAGGTTTTCACTATAGGGCCTGTGCGCTCGCCAGACAGAGAGAGAGACATAGAGACAGAAAGTGAGAAATCACCCCTCAGGGGGATGGTCACGTCACAATCCCTTCTCCTCCATTCTCCTCTCAGGATCTTGGGGACGCACGCACACGCGCCCGGCGTGAGTTTTAAGCCCCTGGGTGCGGGATGTGAACCACGGTCCAAACTTAGCATATTAAAACAACATCCAGTTATTATCTCGAAATTCCGTAGGTCAGAAGACTGAGTACAACATGGCTCACTTGTATCCTCTGCTTAGAGTCTCACAAAGCCAAGATC